ATATAGTTGGAGAAAACATAATAATATTTAGAATCGGATACATCAAATTGGCATATTTGAACTAAAAAATTAATTAATTAATTAAAAAAAATTATTAGCAGAAATAAGTTCATTGGAACAAAATCAAAAGAACAAGTTCATTAAAATATTGAAAGGCCTAACTATATTCAAAGCTATTTGTTGGTTTTATACCGTACTCAGAGGCTACTTGAATTATCTTGTCCTAGATGTATCATTACACATTTCTACAAACATAAGCGTTTTTGCCTCGTAAAAAAATAAAATCATCAAGTCAATTTCATGGTTTCAGAATCTAAAATAATCAGAATCAATGAAAAAAAAAAAAGTAACTAGTGAAAATCTTTGTAAGCAACTTAGAAACTTTAACAAATATCTGAAGTAAATCCATAATACTATTTTTAATATCCCCTACAAAAATGTCAAAATAAACTAGAAGAATGAACAATCTATTGTACATAACTCAAAAAGGATTAGCTCCAGTTCCCCATTCAGTCAACTGATAAGGAATAAGCTAATTAGAAAACAGGGGAATAAACTATTACACTACAAGCAGTGCAGCACCGTGCCTGCAAGTTGAGTTGAATTGGAGACCCTAATCAGATCTTAAGAATACTACTGCAAATCATGAATCTTAACTAATATTTATACAAATATAACTGACTGAATCAATCAAAATTATCTCAATAAAATTAACGTATATATTCAAAGTAAGCAAACAAAACCTTGAATAAAATTAAACAGGATAAACAAGGTGAACAAAAAATTGAGTGAGCAAGTAGATCAGGAAAAAATGGATCAAATAATAGACATTGAAAGGGAAAAGAAAGAGAGATAGATCGAAGAAAGAGGGAGACCTTTCGAACGTAACCGTACTCGCTTTCCTTCTCTGAATCTTCGAAAGTTGTCAATCGAGCTCCGTATACGGACGGCATTCTGTGAGACGGATCACAGGAGAAACCGAAATCAAAAATCTAAACTTCAATTCTGTAGATCAGATCGTCAAGGAAACACAAGGTTTCCAATGGAATTCTTATATAGAGAGAGGGTTTGGCGATTACATATGCGAAGAACCAAAAACAAGAAGAAGAAGAAGAAGAGATGAGAACGTGAATTATGAGGACGGTTACAGAGAAATAGAGAGAATAATGAGTACGGTTACACGAGTACTGTTACAGAGAGATATAGAGAGAGCAGAGAGAGGGGCTTTCCTATGGAAGGGGAGAGAGTAATCTGACGCTGCGCATACACATCAGGTTTCATGGTGTGTCCATTTATACGTAGCCGCGTCATTCATCATTTAGCAAGTGAATTAAAAAATAAATGATAAATTATAAATACATCCCTTAAGATTTATTTAAAATATGAATTATTTTCTGTGATTTAGAAAATTATAAACATTTTTTTATTAGAATTTTTTACTTAACAGAATTAGTTGAAAAAATAAAATTTCTAATTGTTCACTTATATAATAATAAAATTATCTAAATTATTAATTGAAATAAAATTTTAACATTATTAAAAACCGTTAATTAACTTGATAATTTATTAATAAAATAACCTATTTGTTATGAAATTAGAAATCTTAATGGACATAATGTAATTTCTAAAATTACATGAGTAATTTGTAATTTAAGTAAATCTCAAGAGATGTATTTGTAATTTATTCAAAAATAACCAATTAAGATTCATAATTTTAGCATATCAAAATCTCTTATTTTAACATAAATAATAACAAATAAAAAAATTACAAATTAAAACTTAACAAATAATTATAAATTAATACTCATACTTTTTATTTAAAAGTAAAAAAAATAAAAATAAAGTTATCTGTAAACAACAAAGAGAAGATACCAAGGTGGTAGTGTGGTCCCAAATCTGTATTGTGTGATCCTAATCTGGTGAATCGCGAGTCGGTAAATTACAAAGCAACAAAGAGAGATAAAGAAGACAAAGAAAATACGAAAATACTTAACAAGTACTGTGAATAAATAAATAAATGAAGAATTTCATACACTTTTAGGGTTTTAGGGTTTTAGCCTTGCCGTAATTGGAGTTGTCTGCACTCACCCAAAAAAAAAAAAATTGTGTGCCAGTGTTTGATTGGGATTGGGATTCACAAAAAAAAAACCAAAAAACAAAAAAACCAAAAAAACGTGGGTCCGTGGTGTGATGTTAGTGTGTTTGGGATGCATTTGGGAGGGTTATGTAGTAGAGGCACTGTGTAAGCAAGACCAAACCAAAAAAAAAAAAAAATTGAAAAGCCAAGGGGCACGTGATCCCCCTCGACCCAACGTCCCTCTGCCACTAGCTGGGACCATTTGACGATCAAAGTCTCTAAATAGAGATTGATCCAAAATGGGAAATGCTACTTAACAAAAGATACAGGATGATAAAAAAAATTTAGATCAACACTTCTACTACTCAATTGGAAAAATGAAATTATTGAATGGAGTTAATCTTGCCAACCATCAATTCAACAATTTATGTGGACCCCAATTTCCATAATGGGAATAGGTTGTTGTTCAAATTGTGAAATTAAATAAATAGATTCACGAATAAATTAAAAAAAAAATATATATATATATATATATACCAAGAACACATGCTAAGAATTACAACTAAATTACAACAGAAATACACAAAATAATAAAATGGTAAAGAAAGCAAACCAAAACCTGCACGGTAGCAGTTTCTTTAAAACAGATTTCGCCGCCTCACAGGTCGAGTGCTTGAGGAATTCCGACATCTGTCTCCCAAGATACGACAGTCAAAAACCAACTACAGCAGAAGCACTTTCTGTCTAGCTTAGCGAACAAAACCATGGCAACACTCTCACTGTAGGAACTTTCTAGCAAACTGACTTGTAAAAAGAAAGCAAAAATTTCTGTCTATGAGACTTGACATGAGTGTCTCAATTTATACATGTATAGAGGAGAAAGGAGAAGCCTCCAGCCTTTATGGCTAGTCACTAATGCACCATTAACCTCTGCAGTAAAGGCAGGAGTTACAAACCTTATTAATGCACTATTAAACTCTGCAATAAAGGCAGAAGTTACAAACCCCATTAACTCTTTCATGAAGCTAACTTCATGGGGCAATTTCTCATTCAATTCTCAATAGTTTTTGGTCATTCTATTTGTGGTGTAAAGATCTCATTGCAAAGTATCTAGACCCACTTGGATCCAACACAATAGACGAGTGGGACCCACTTTAATATTTGATTAAAGTCACCAAAAAACTATTTTTTCCAACATAGGTCACAAGGTGAACCAAGAGGACACAACCATCTAATGATACAAATAAAATAGGGAAATACTAACCGTTTTTGGAGTATAACCTACAGTATGTCAGAGCAATTGAATCATATGATAATCAAAATTGATGTATCATATGTATGAGTTGGCTGATTAGTGTAGTTAAAGTTTTCCTCACATGTAAGACACAAATACAAAAAAAATGACAAACAGAAAAATATGAACATACAAAGATAACATCAATTACTTTGCTTTTTGTCTGTGAACCACATTAGCATCAAATAATAAATTCTATGATCGGAGATGAAATGTTGCACATTGAGGCCCTCCAAGATACACTTTTAGTCCTTTATCTTATGTTACTTGGCCTAATAATCTTATTCCATGTTGTGTAGGTCCTCCGTGCATTAGAGATGAAAAGTGGAAAATAAAGGAGTCTGCCAGTGCCTTATTCCAATCGAGTAGAAGTATTTCTTTGCATCAGGAGAAATTCATTGAAGCCTAAAAGCACACTACCATAATCCGCCCAAGTGGAGGTCTGGCGCCACTCGAGTGGAATTGCCTCAAAACGCACACTTTATGCCCACTCATTTATTTAAGAAACAATTTAAGTAAGACACTAGAATTGTTGTATTGTAATTTTGAATTTTGATTTGATTTGGATAAGAGTTGCATAACTTTCAAGGACTATTTATTCAAGTAAATTTTTCATCAAATCTATGTGTTTGATTTATGTGATTGAGAATTCATGGTTATACAATTGTTCTTCCTACATATGTACCGAAACTGTGAGACAAGATATTAACGAGAGAAGAATCGTGCTACAACCCTAGTTTTAGTATAGATGATTTGTACCGACCGAAGATGATTCGTGCCCATGGTTTGAATACTTGAATCCTCTTAATGATGTTATTGGGGCTTATAGTTACAAAACATCGTAATTATCCAAATTAACAATTTTTGGGAAATTAATACAATAAAACCTTTTTATGCGAAATGGTAAGACTTTCTCCACATTATAACACATTCTATTTATTGCTTAATTAATTTGGATTATTTTTAATTTATAGTTTAATTATCCTCAAAACAAATCAATCGAGTTAATTTAGGAATTGTCATTCAAGATAATAGAATTTATTAGTCCATTAATCCATGTTGTACGATACCCAACTTAAACCACTATTCTATTTGAATTGAGGTCTTAGGACGGATTTTTTTTTATTGCCAAATGACTGATCATTCGGAATTCAATTTGGGAAATATAAAAAATTAGTGGATTCAACAAGAGAAAGCTAAGTTATGGATGATAACAATATGGAGCATCTCTATCAGATTACCTAAATTTTGACCCTAAAATATTATTAAAAAATTCATTCTCTATTTTAAGAATCACTTTTTCATTTATTTTCCCCAACAAACTCCCTATTATTTCCTTATTCTATTAACAAACTCCCTATTTTTTCTCTATTTTATTAAAATATAATTTTTAATTATAAATTTAAAAAAATAAAAATCATAAATGTGTATTACAGTCCCTAAACAAAACAAAGCCAAAAAAAAAAAGAAAAAAAACAGAGGAAATTATGAGGGAGCTACAATGACTCCCTACAAATAGGGAGTCACTGTAGCAATTCCTATTTTAGGGAAGTGTTTAAGGGCTCTAATGGAAGGGTATAGGAACCGCTAATCCCTTAAAATAGGTAAGGATGAAATTTAGGAGTTCTATTAGGGATGCTCTAACAAACTTCTAGTCAATTCTTCTTGATAACATGGATAACTTAGCATTAAGTTACCTGAAATTGCGGGAGTAATCACATCATCACCTATGACCATGCAAGCCCCCAATAACACCACAATAAGTAGGGTTGTCCGCAATTTTTTATGCTTTTCAAGAAATCTCTTCAGTGGTAAAGATAATGAACCCTGTCTTGAGGGACCATATCTACAAGCAGACAACTCCTCATCAGCTGCTTGTTGATTGGGAAGTAAACTAAGCTTTGCATGCCTACAAAGCAGCGAGTAAAGAGCAAATGTACCACCTGACAATAATTGAATTAGATATTAGTAAAATATATCCAAACATAAGCCTTATCAGTGAGCATTTTATTAAAAGAGTCAGTCACAACGCACCTTCGCCATTATCATCGGCAGTCAAAACGATGAACACATATTTGAGCAAAGGAATTAACATTACGGTCCAACATATCAACAATAATACACCAAATATTGCATCATCATTCTGATATTTCTGCAACTTCCCTACGAATGTGCTTTTATAAACATAAAGAGGTGAAGTGCTCAAGTCACCATATACAACACCAAAGCTCTGGTATGCTAACATTAGATTCCTGGAGAGATTCACCCATGAAAACTGCAAGGCCACATGTAGTAAGTTTAGGCCTCGTTTGGGATACAGGTTATTTTAGAAACTTTTAGGCTTTTTACGAAAAGATGTGCAGAAAAGTAGAGAGAGTAATGTGACAACTTATAGTGACTTTTTGACTTTTTAACTAAAATGTATAGTTGATAAACGAGGCCTTAGTACAAGTTTAAACTAGTTGAGTCAATGCATTGTTCAAAGAAACAAAATTTGTTCATGTTAAATATGATAAACCATAGATATTAGCAGCAAGATAGAACAGGCAAGTTAGGATTCAGTGACCAAAACGTCTTTGTTGATTTTTCCCGGGCTTTATATAGTGTCACAGTTGTGGATCAGGATCATTAGACATGTCATTTCTTATGTAAATTGTAAGCTTCCATGCCATTAGAACTTTGGCCTTGCTTGTATGTGTAGTAAGTATCGTTAGCTTGAATTAAATTGCTACTAGTTACTAAAGGAGTAATTGATTTTTGTTGCACCAGACGAGCACATTGTTTTCATAAATTCTCTCGGCTTATCCTCAATTCATGTATTTCAAAATGACTTTCTTTCCTATCATATCTTTTTCTTATTTCACCACTCATTTCATAAATATGTCCGTATGAAGTACCAACACTTCAAATGGATGTTGTGTCTGTATCAAACATGTGCAGAACACCAACACGCCTGGGACACGCGTGTCAAACATGCCATATGGTATGTCAATTTTTCTAATTATCATTTTTGTTGGTAGGATGTTTTTGTGACACTTCATCTTATAAATGTTACAAAATATATTTTGAGTAAACTTTGTATTTTTGAAGAATGCAAAACATAAAAAGATTCATCACACATGTCATGTTCGGAGGGTTCAAAAAGTGTCACCAAAGTATCTAAAACATGTATGTAAAGATTTCAAATTATAAATATGAATGTATAAGTACGCTGTTAGACTTATTTATTTTGATGATTTATTTAATTATGTTTTAATGTATCTGAAAGAAAAAAATAAAATCTAAAATTTATTTTGATGATTTATTTAATTCTATTTTAATTTATTTGAAAAAGAAAAATAGAATCCAAAATTTATTTTGATGATTTATTTAATTATATTTTAATTTATTTGAAAAAGAAAAATAGAATTCAAAATTTATTTTGATGATTTATTTAATTATGTTTTAAATCCAAAATTTATTTTGATGATTTATTTAATTATGTTTTAATTTATTTGAAAGAGAAAAATAGAATCAAAATTTATTTTGTCCCATTATTTCTTACCTAATCCTTTATCCTAAATGTTGTTAGAATGTATTTAATATTTGATTAAATCAGAAGTTCAAATAGCCCAAAACAAAGGTTCAAATAACCCAGCACAGCAGCAGTTCAAAAGGTTCAAGTGGAAGATATTCAAATTTGTAATGATGGAGTGGAAGATATTCAAATTAGTAATGATAGAATGGAAGATATTCAAATTAGTAATGATGGAGTACAACAGCTATAAACGGCTATAAATTCAAATGAATACAACGGCTATAAACAGCTATAAGTTTCATCATATATACCAAAATCTCTAATGTAAACAAGTTATAAAAAATAAAAATAAAAAAAATATTCTTTGGTCTATAATCACTCACATCTATTCTCTGAAAAATTCTCTGAGAAGTGTTTTTCAATTTTTGTTTACATTCTCTCTCAGAAATTATACACCGAGCCTTATAGCATTAAGCTCATCTTTCTTGTGTGAGATTTATAGAAAAACCAGAGCTTCATTTTTATATCTATCTTTGAGAGATAATTATTGTACCTTTCTATGAAAGCAAAAACACTTTCTTTTCAACCTTGTAAGAGTGTAGTACACTCAGTGTTCTTGACTTAGAAAGTCTGTGTAAAATCTGTGGAGGATTGCTCTATCTGTGAAAAGGTTGCTAGCACTCTGTGAAGTTAGAAGATAGTGAAAAATCTCAAGTGAAGCTTGAGGAGTGGATGTAGGCTTGGTTGAAGCCGAACCACTATAAATCTGTTTGTCTCCTCTTTCCTAATCTCTTTACTTTCCTACTACTGCTATATCTATCTAATATTCATGTGCTAATCATTTGATTTACCCTGTATGTTAGTTATACTTCATTGTTATTTTGCTTGATTATTTACTGCTAAGTTCATCATTGTGCTTGTTAATAATTTGTTGTAATAATAGTTAATTTTATTGGGGTATTATTAATTTTAATTTGTAGAAACCTAATTCACCCCCTTTTAGGTTGCTTTTTGGGTAATAATTGGTATCAGAGCCTAGGGCTCTTGTTTAGATTTAACAATCTTGAGTTTTTGATCCATAGCAACCATGTATTCTACTTACTTTATTGTAGGACAAGCTAACAATAGGCCACCTCTTTTTGATAGTAGTAATTATACTCATTGGAAAGAAAAAATGACTTTGTATCTTCAAGCTACCAACTATGCTTTGTGGCTTATTATTACTAAAGATTCTAAAATCCCTACCAAGATAGTAGACCATATCAGTGTGCTTAAACTTGAGGATGAATATGATGAGCGTGATTATAAACTCCTTCAAGCTAATGCTAAAGTCAAGCTTATTCTTGTGTGTGGACTAGATGCAAATGAGTACAATAGAATTTCTGGGTGTATTACTGCTAAAGAAATTTGGGATAAACTTGAAATTACCTATGAAGGAACTAGCCAAATAAAAGAGTCTCGAATTGACATGCTTATTCATGATTATGAACTTTTTACTATAGAATCATTTGAATCTATTTCTGAGATGTTTTATAAATTTACCAATATTATTAATGCTCTAAAATCTCTTGGTAAATCTTATACTAATGATGAGCTTGTAAGAAAAATACTTAGGTCTTTGCCGAATGAATGGAAAGCTGAGGTTACAGCTATCCAAGAAGCAAAAGACCTAACAAAATTAGGCATTGAAAGACTCCTAGGCTCACTCATGGCTCATGAACTTTCAATGATGGATGACAACAAAAAAGAAGCCATTTGGGGAGAAAATGATGGAGTAGCCAACCTGTGTCTCATGACTCTTGGAGAAGAAGAATCCACTCAAAATGAGGTAATTTCTAATTATGTAGAATTTGAAAGTGCTTTCAATAAATTACATGACATATTTAGAAACGTTTGTGTTAAGAATTCTAAATTAAAAAAATTAATTACTTCTCTTTCAAATGATGTGGGTGTTTTAAAAATGGAAAATGCTACTTTGATAAATGACTTTACGTCTATTGCCAATGAGAAAAATATTTTGAACAACAATGTTGAGGATTTAAACAAAACTCTTGAAAATTTTGTAAAAGGAAAAGAAAACCTTATCAAGCTTCTTGGAAATAAAAGATGTGTTTTTGACAAAGTAGGCATTGGTTTTGATCCTCCTAAACCTTTTATGAAATTAAATGTTCTTGAGACTAATCCCCATAGGCCCAAGAAAGTATGGGTACCAAGAAAGAAATCAAGATATTTTGTAGGTGGAATCTCAAAGAACACCAAGGATTTCGAGATGAAATGCACAACAAGAGTGTTCAATCTAAAGAGCAAAATCAGCTCATACAAGAAGAAGAATGATGAAATGAAAATCACCAAGATGAATAATAGAGGTAATGTATGGGTGAAGATTCCAAAGAGGTAAATCAAGGTATAACTTCTAACACACCTTTAAGCTTAAAGTTCTTTATTCTTTAAAGTGTGATTTGTGTACAATAGGTTGTGTCTAATCATTGCTTCCATGTAACCTAATTGTACTAAGTTTGCTAAGTCATGTCATCCATTGCTATGAAAAAGAGATAAAAAGTGATAAATTTTTTTGTGAGCATACTTTTCACATCTTGTATATGACTTCATACTAATATGTTAATTTCTTTTTGAGTCATATCTTTGTAGAATCAATTTTGATGTCATAGCATGTTTTTGAGATGTATACTATCTATATTTTGAATTCTACATTTGTGATCTCAAGAATATGCTCAATATGAAAATTTCATGCTTATATGTTTTACATTGGAATATTTGAATGAGTTGTTGAATTCCTTGATTATGATCCATCAACAATGTCTAAATAAAAAGAAGTATCATACGTTTGTAGAGACATTGCATCTATCCTATTAAATATCTTTTGAATATGGATTATATTGGCATACATCTCATGAAATACTTTTGATTGATAAATTGTTGAATTAATTGTTTAGAACATTCATGTTGTGTCCCATGTCGAGTAAAATATTTTATCATACTTGAGCATGTAGATTGAATTGATGAAAATGCTTCTTGATAATGTTATGTGATTAAATGAGATTGTTGCATCATTTCTTAATAAAACAAAGAGCATAAAACAATTTTCTTATGCATATTATGCTATGTGTTACAACTTGAAAATTTTGAAAAATAGCATTCCAAACTCTTATTTGATCATTGAATTATTTTTCACATTTTTAGTTTGTGATAAGAAGTGATTTGTGTTGTGTTTTTATTGAGTAATAGTCATTGTTCTATGAGTGCTATATTTACACAAAATAGAAAAGGGTAGCACTAACTTAGAGGGAGAAATCATTTTACTAACATACTTGTTAAACCCTTTTGAGATGAACTCCTCATCTAAGAAAATTGAAGATTGAAAAGCTTTCATCTCTTGAACCTAAGGTATGCCTCATATACACTCTTAAGCTTTTCAGGTAAAAATTCTATCTTATATCCATTGAGCTAATATTGTTATTACTTTGTGTGGGGATGTGGTTTGGAAATACTCTTCTGATCCTGAGGGACGCTCGTGATCCTCTGCTAGTCACTTGAAAATGAATAAACAATCCGGTCGTGGGTGCCGGAATTAGCACTCCGACGGGCAAGTTAGTCTCTGCACCCAAGATTACTTGTATTCTAAGTTAAGCTTAATAGTTCTCACATACATTTCCTCGTCTATTGCCCCTTTATTTATACTCGTTTCCTGGGCCTTGGGGCCTGGCCCAATTTTCACTCATTATTCTCTTATTTACTCGGCTTCATAGTTTAATAGATACTCGGCCTATCTAATTCACTCGGCCTCCTGGTCGTGCAGGATGGAGCCGAGTAGTATCCGTCTTGCAGAGTGTGCGTTTCTGATTATGCATTTATTCGGCTCCCGCAACTGCCCCCCAAACTCCTCATTGACGGTAGTTATTGGGAGTGTTTGGTTTCGAATTTTGAAAAGTTAGGGGAAACAAAAGTTAGGCGGCTTCACCTATCCCAATGTGAACGTCAGAATGCACACGCCCTTCGGTCATCATTATACTTTCCCGCCTCATTCGTGCATCTCTCGCATTTATTATGATTTGAAACTCCAGTCCCTTCGAATGCATACTTTTTCAAATATTTGAGCCTCCAGGATTGCCAGTCGATACCTCTTCTCTGATTCGCGTCTTCTGCAACTTATCCCCGTCTCTCCTTATCTCCCTTGCCTCTTGTAAGTTTTCTTCTTCTCTTTGTAATCCTATTTTCCGTGTTTATTTTAGATTTGGCATACCCTTAAATCTTCACTAGAATGGCTAAGCACTTGGAAGACCTCCTTTCCGAGGGCCATATTTCGGGGTTCCGACAACACTTTTCTATCCCTGACGATGTCCACCTATCTCTAGTGACCGACAATACTCTTGATATGGAGAGGGAAGATCAAGATACAATCGTCTTTTCTCTCCTATCCATTGCGGAGGGCGGGGTCCGTTTTCCCCTACACCCATTCCTTAGGGCCGTCCTCCGCCATTGGAGTCTGATTCCTTCCCAACCCAATGTGAATTTTTTTCGAATCATCATGGGAATCGTAAAGTTGAACCGGTGCCCTAGGATCAACCTTGGCATTCTGGCCATTCGACACTGTTATGCTTTAGCCAAATCCTCCGATCGGCATGGGCGCTATTTCCTCAGGGCCAAGGACACTGACTACCACTTGGTAACCATGCTTGCCAGCTCTGGCAAACGAGTTGATGATGTGATGGTCAATGTCTGAGGCAATTGGGAATTTGGCGAAGGCGAAGATCGCCTAGACCCTATACCCAGACGGAGGGGTGAACTAGGTTGCCGTGCAACTCCTCATTTTTATTGATCTTTCTTTCACTCGGCTCTTTCTACCAGTCTAATCCTTTGTTTATGCAGGCAACAAGTTGAAGAAGATTTTGATTTCGGCCGACAAGGCGGTCCTTGCTGAAATTAAGACTGCACTCAAGTATTTTGGCCGTCCAAACGTACAGAAGCAAGGGAGAGCCGTCCACATACTCCTACAATACGAGCCCACTTATACTACGTTCTTGGTGGCGGACTATATTCCGATCCCAACCGACGATCAACATCTTACGGCTCTTATCTTCCCCAGCTTCAAGACCCTTAGGCAAATTGGTTTTGAAGAATCTGATTCGGAGCGAGAGGCAGAGCCGGTAATCGAGGTAGTTGCAGAACAAGCAAAAGAGTTCGCTGTGGAGGCCGAAGAGGTCGACGAGGCTCTGAAATCAATGTTTGAAACAGCCGACCTTAATCAGCCTAACTCGCTGTTCACTTCGGGTCGGGGGGAGTTTTCTTTTGGAGATATTTTTACTGGTTTAGAAGATCTTTTCGGCTCCTATTCTGAGGGTATGGCGAAGGAATCTCTTTCTCAGCTGGCACAAAAAAAGAATGCTAAGCATTTAGCCGCCCGTCAGAAGGCCAAGGCCATTACCTCCAAAGCTGCCCTCCTAGAATCATCCGAGAAGGTTGTCGTTGTTGAAACGGCTAAACTTGTTTCTATTGAAACAGAACGGTCAGTTGAAACTCTGACTCCAGAGGTCGATAAGGGTAAGGAAAAGCGACCCGCTGATTTTGAGGCCGTTTCTGAAGAGATTCCAGTCGAAAAGAGGCCGCGCTTGGAGGAGTCAGGCGTGATTGTTCCTTTTGTAGTTTAGCCGAAGATAAAAATTGTGCCGATCTCCTCTGACGCATCGGCTGTGAAAGACCCAGCTGTGGTGTTGAGCCTTACTTCGTCGGTCTCATTGCCGGCTGACAAGGCGGCTTTCTGCTCGGAGCCAGACGTGTTAGCAATTGCATTGGCCGCTCAGACAGCTCTTCTGGTATGTATCTTGATCATATCTTATCTTTTGTGTTTCTGCATATATTTGTTTTGGTTTTAACATTCTATTTTACAGATGGTCAGCAGGATAGTCGAGATAGGGCGGTGTTAGCATGAAGCCGTCAAAGAAATAGGACGTTTAAGATCGGAAGTGAAGGGCGAAAAAAGTAGGGCCAACTTTGAGGCGGCAAGGGCGACGATGGAGAGTGCAAGGGCGAAGGCCGAAATGGAGAGGGCGAAAAATACTGAAGAGCAGAGATTGGTCGCCGAGCAGAGGGCAAGCGCAAGTGATGAAGCGCTCAAGTCAGCCCAAGAGGTGGTTGCCAGGCTGGAGAACGAATTGGAAGATTTGAAGAAGGCAAAAGAAAAAGCCGACTCCAAGTCTTCCAAGGCGTACAAGGCCAGGCAAGACGCCGCCCTTGAAAGCTACGCGGATGAAGCTCCTAAATTTGAAAACCGGGGATTCAAGCACGGCTGGCTCAAGGCCCTTGTTGTTGCAAATGTGACATTGGCAGTGCCAATTCCACATGAGCAAGTGAACATCGAGCTGCTGGAGTCTGGCCCCGAGGATCCTTAGGGTGCCACACTAGTTGTTTTTGTCTAGGAATTTCAATGTATTGTCTTTTATTTTATTTTTACCCTAGGTGATCTTCATGTATAAAGTGATACTTCGCCTGGATTCAGTTTATCAATGAAACTTTTCCTTATTTTGTGTTATTCCTGTACTTAATTGAATGAATAGACAATTATTCTATTAAAAGGATGGATGATTCAAAAGTTAGGAGATATTCATGATTCAGATTTAAGGAATCTGCCCTTGCCACAGCCAGTGCATGAGCTTTATAAGCCGAATAGGACTCGTTCAAGGAATGGTTGTGGCATGAATCGATCGGCATTGGGTTTTAATACTTGGCCGATTAGATAACAGTGTAACTTGGCAATTAATTTAAATTTCACTTAGCCGAACAAGCAATCCTGTTGCATAGCAGCCGATTGTATAACTAGGGGTTCATTAAATGAGATCAGATTAATGCATGTGATCTTGCCGAATATTAGTCGTTCGGTCTTAGGTATTTAGCCGATCATATTAATAAATCTTCTCTTACCTCAACCAATGTAAGGACTCCGAGTGCCGTATATCACTAGTTCATGGAGTGACTGTGGCACAAATCGGTCGGCATCAGGGTTCGGTGTTCAGCCGACTAGATTAATAAATCTGCCCTTGCCTCAGCCAATGTATGGACTTCGAGTGCCGTATATCACTAGTTCATGGAGTGGCTGTGGCACAAATCAGTTGGCATCAGGCTTTGGTGTTCAACCGACTAGATTAATAAATCTGCTCTTGCCTCAGCCAATGTATGGACTCCGAGTGTCGTATATCACTAGTTCATGGGTGTTGTACTGACGATTCATGGAGCAGTTGGGGCATATGACTTAATCGGCGGCGGGCTGTTGAGGTTTTGATATTAATGAGACTGCCTCGGAGGTGCTGCCCCTGTAGGGAATAAATGAGCATGTACGTCGCGCAAGAAGGTCTTGTTTATATGCTCAGAGTCAGTGGCTCACTTCAGTTCTTTGAGAAAGACTAAACAAGTGTGTATTTCAAATAGACTTTTCTTTAATAGCAGAGGAGAAGCGAGGACGCTAGCTGAACTGGGAGGAGATATGAGTCGAAGTGGTGAACCTTCACGTGTTGGAGATAGGACTTCGAGGGATCGAGAGAGGCATCAATCCCCCTGTCGTCGAAGCAGGTTGCCCAGGAGGAACAAGCAGCTACAGGGCATACCTCCTCAACCCGATTCTGGAAGGGAATCCAATGCGACCCCACGCCCATTGAGTTTTGCGGTCTTTGTGGGGAATAGGCCAATGACAGATGCGAATTCGATTGTTCGGGATCCAAACATTGCAGTTGAGTTTGCTCAACAGATTTTGCCACCCGAAGTCCAGCAGTCAATGGTAGGTCGGCAGGACTTCGAGGTGTTTCGTAAAGGCGTTCACGGGGCGGTGAGGGGACTGTACACAGCTTATGAGATCGGCATGTATCTCCGCACCGCTCGTCGCGACATAGAACAGAGAAATGAACACATTCGGAAGTTAGAAGCTCGCGTCGAGAAGGCCGAGCGTGAGCTAAGGAAATTTAAGTCTGCCGAGCCTCAATCGGCCAGCCACTCCAACCCAGTTGTGGAAGAGAGGGTTACTCAAAGGCTGATTAGTGATGCGATCACCGATAGGAATACGTCTAGTATGTTCGCGATTGAGACTGCGAGGGTCGCAACCTATGAAAAAGGTTTCCATGACGGCCGAAAGATCAGAATTGAGAAGACTAAGGAAAAACTCACCGAAGAGGTTTGCCGATATGAAAATCGTAGATTTAAGCACGGTTAAATCAAGGCATCTCAAACTGCGGAAGCTCTCCGAGCGTCGGGCATTGATTCGGCATCGCCGCTCTACCGACGTAAACATTTTCTGTTTTCCGCCTTTGAAGTCGAGCAGAGCGAGGATGAGGGTGACCCCGTATAAAAATACCTATTGTGATGTTTAAACGTAAATCGCATTCAAAACTATGTAATCGTTTCACCTGATTGAATAAAATGTTCTATTTTAAATGTGTTTTGTTATAATTTTCATTCGGCACACACGTGTTTGCATTTTCTGTTTTCATTGTTTAATTGAATATTTATTCGGCATACACGTGTTTTCTGTTGTGTTAATATTGGCCGGCCCAAGCTAACTACTCATTGTATTTCGAATGTTTATCTGCTTTGATGTATAAACGGGTTTTGCCGGCTCGATATGAGAGCATTCTACATTAAGCATCTAATCGGCATAATTATGAGGGGCGCCGAGAGACGTCATGCTCAGATGAGGCTTCGAATCCGGAGGCTTAATCGGCCTAAAGACGTCATGCGCCGATGGGGCTCCGAAACCGAAGGCTTTGGCTAATCGTGATATCCATGAAGGGCACTTCGAATCCGGAGGCTTAATCGGCCCAAAAGACGTCATGCACCGATGAGGCTCTGAATCCGGAGACTATTTGGCCAATCGTGATATCCACGAAGGGCGCTCTGAATTCGAAGGCTTTTTCGGCCCAAAGATGTCATGCGCCGATGGGGCTCTAAATCCGAAGACTTTATTTGGCCAATCGTGATATCCACGAAGGGCGCTCCGAATTCAGAGGCTTAATCGGACCAAAGATGTCATGCGCTGATGGGCTCTGAATCCGGAGGCTTTATTTGGCCAATTGTGATATCCACGAAGGGCGCTCCGAATCTGGAGGCTTAATCGGCCCAAAGACGTCATGTGCCGATGGGGCTCCGAATTCGAAGACTAGACTTGGCCAATTGTGATATCCACAAAAGGCATTCCCAATCCGGAGGCTTAATCGGCCTAAAGACGTCATGCGCCGATGGGGCTCCAAATCTGGAGACTTTATTTCGCCAATCGTAATATCCACGAAGGGTGCTCCAAATCCAGAGGCTTAACCGGCCCAAAGACGTCATGTGCCGATGGGGCTCCGAATCTAGAGACTTTATTTTGCCAATCGTGATATCCACAAAGGGCGCTCCGAATCCGGAGGCTTAACCGGCCCAAAGACGTCATGCGCCGATGGGACTCCGAATCCGAAGACTTTATTTGGCAAATTGTGATATCCACGAAGGACGCTCCGAATCCGGAGGCTTAATCGGAACACCTTTGAACTGGAGTTTGTAGTGAGTAAATAAGGATGTTTTCATTACAGAAAATGAGATGTACATGGCGAACCATTCAGAACAAGTATCATGCCCCACAAGTCGGGTTAATGATAAAATTTGCGTAAATGCGTCGAATTCTAAGGTCGTGGCTGACTCCTCCCTGACATATCTTTGAGCCGATATGCCCCTACTCCTGCGATCGAATCAATCTGATAGGGGCCGTCCTAGTTAGGGCCCAATTTTTTATCAGTCGGTTTCTTGGCAGCTGGAAGTACCTTCTTCAGGACCAACTCTCCTGGTGTGTAGCGGCACAGCTGAACACATTGATTATATGACTTGGCAAGCTGTTGTTGGTACCGCGCCATCAACGCAAGGGCACAGTCTCTTCGTTCTTCAATCAGAATCAGATCCAGTGCCAGCATCATGTTGTTTCGGCCCATATCATAAACTTGAGATTTCAGGGTTGGGTGGCCGATCTCTAAGGGTATGATTGCTTGGGTTCCAAAACACAGAGCAAACGGCGTTTCGCCAATAGATTGCCTCGGCGTAGTTCGATGAGCCTATAATACACTCGGCAATTCTTCGACCCATTTGCCTTTAGCTTTCTCCAGCCTTTGCTTGATGCCGGCCAAGATGGATTTATTAGAGGCTTCGGCTTGACCATTGCTTTGTGGGTAAGCCGGCGTAGAAAAGTAAGGCCGGATACCATATTTGATGCACAGCTCTCGGTAGACGCCACAATCAAACTGGGTGCCGTTGTCTGAGATAAGAGCTTTTGGAATGCCGAATCGCGTTATGATATTTCTCCACACAAAGCGCTTAACATCAGGATTTCGAATGTGCGTTAATGTCTCCGCTTCAACTTATTTTGTGAAGTAGTCTATGGCGACGATCAAGTATCGCTTGTTCCTTGGGGCCCTCAGCAACGGTCCTACGATATCAAGCCCCCATTGAGCAAACAGCCAGGGACTAGTGATAGAGCTCAACTTTTCAGCAGGCAGATGGGTTAACGGGGAGAACTTCTGGCATTGTTCACTTTTTTTCACATAGCACTCCATATCAGATCTCATTGTCGGCCAATAATACCCCTGTGTTCTAGCTCTATGGGCCAAGGAACGCTCGCCAGAATGGGCACCACAACTGCCTTCATGTATTTTAGCAAGAAGCTCTTCGACTTTGTTAGGGTGTACACATTCTAAATATGGACCAGAGAGGGATTTTTTATAAAGCCTTCCTTGCGAATCCAAGTAGTATCGCAGGGTTTTGTTTCGGAGCTTGTGTACTTATTTCTTGTCCTTTGGGAGCTCTTCGGAAGACAGGAATGCGGCAATGGGATCCATCCAACTCGGTCCAGATTCAATAACGTTGACCTGGACTTCCTCCGAAGGGCCAATGCTTGGCTCCGGGATGAAGCCCACTTCTATGGTCCGTTTAATCTCTGAGTTAATGGCGGAGGCTAGGCAAGCAAGGGCATCTGCATGTGTGTTCTCATCACGTGTTATATGGTTCAATTCATGATGGTCAAATTTGGCCAGCAAGGAGTTGGCGATTTTCATGTAAGCCGCCATACATTCGTTTCTTGCCGCGTACTCCCCTTTTAGCTAATTGATCACCAGTTTTGAATCGTAAAATACAAGCAAGCGCCGAGCACCCAAAAGATGTGCATTTCGCAAACTAGCTAGAAGGGCTTCGTATTTGGCTTTGTTATTTGATGCTTCGAAGTCGAGCTTGACGGCCTGCTCAATTATTATGCTGTCGAGGGCCATGATCACAACTCCAGCTCCGCTGCCCCGTTGATTGGATGATCCATCACAGCATAACTGCCAGATGTCCCCAACATAAATTCTCCAGTTCAGCTCCGGTCGAATGTCATCAGACTTGAAATCGACCAGGCCCCCAGTGAATTCGGCAACAAAGTCGGCTAGCACCTGGCCCTTGATTGAGGTTCTAGATAGAAACTGAATGTCGTACTGGCCGAGTTCAAGAGCCCACTTTGAAACACGTCCTGATGCTACTGCACTTCGTAATACTGATCGGGGGGGATAATCTGTTAGCACCCCAATGCTATGTCTTTGGAAGTAATGTATCAGTTTTCTTGCCGCCATGACTAGGGCTAGGATGAGTTTTTCCAGCGGAAGGTAGCGTGTTTCAGCGTCAACCATTGCCTTGCTCACGTAATACACTGGCCGCTGCTCCCCTAGCTCTTCTTTTATCAGTACGGCACTGACGGCCTTATCGGATACTGCCAAATACAAAATGAGCGGGTCACCAGCAACAGGTGTTGTCAAGAGTGGTACTGAGCGGAGGTAAGTTTTGAGGCCGTTGAAAGCGGCTTTGCATTCAGCGGACCATTCAAAAGTCTTGCGCTGCCGTAATTTATGAAATAATTGTCGGCAGCGATCTGTAGACCGACTGATGAACCTATTGAGTGTCGCGGCCATCCCCATCAACTTTTGAACCTCTTTTACTGAATGAGGGGAGCTGAGTTCCAAGAATGCTGTGATTTGCCACGGGTTGGCCTCGATTCCCCTGTGGTTGACAATGTAACCCAAGAACTTGCCGGAGCCGATCCCGAACGCACATTTGAAAGCATTCAGCTTCATTTTGTATTTGCGTAAGATGCCGAACGTTTCTTCTAGATCGGCTAGATGGGTTTGCTCTTCTCTGGACTTGACTACCATGTCATCAATGTACACTTCCATAGTGCGGCCGAGTTGCTCCTTGAACATAGCCATGACCAGTCTTTGGTAAGTTGTCCCTGCGTTTTTTAGCCCAAAAGGCATAACCTTATAGCAATAGGTTCCTCTTGAGGTGAGGAATGCAGTTTTTTCTTGATCCTTAGGATGCATGGCGATCTGATGGTATCTTCTGTAAGCATCGAGGAAGCTCATGCGTTGATGACGTGCCGTTGCATCGACAAGTTGGTCAATTCTGGGTAGGGAAAAACAATCTTTGGAGCAGGCTTTGTTAAAGTCAGTGAAATCGATGCAAACTCACCAAGTCCCATTTTTCTTCTTCACAACCACTGAGTTAGAGAGCCATGTAGGGTAGGTCACTTCCCTGATTGCCCCGGCGTCAAGTAGCCTATCAACCTTCTCAACAATGACGGCGGTGTGCTCTGCGACTGACCGCCGACTTTTCTGAATAATCGGCTTGCACTTAGGATCAACATTCAAATGGTGCTGCGAGATGGACGGATCTATACCCGATATCTCGTATGG